ATGTCTATAGCAGCTCCAGTGGAAGAGGAAATGCATTGTTCAGGCAGGGCTCGGTTTTATCAGCTGAGGTGGCAAGGACAGAGTTTGGGGTCCCAGAGACATCTGAAGTATCTGTGGGGTCTTGGTACCTGAAGAGCAGCTGAAGACAGTGTTGGTCATGACACCCGTGACTGTGGCAGCAAGACTGTCTATTTTAGTATTTCCTGCAAAATAATTCTCATGATGTTATCATCTCATTCTGTGAACTGAGCGTTCAAAACCCCAAGTGATAGAATAAGAAAATAGGTCAACAGGGTTCACTGCCGTGAGACGTCCAGGCAATATAAGTCAAAAGTCAAAAGCAATATATCTTATCTTAAGTCAAAAGCAATATAATTTGGGGGTGATAAGCAATAATTCCTTTTAGTTGTATAGGGTTTTTATGAGTATTTCACATAAACCTTCCAGCGATCCCGTGTGGAACACAGGAAACAGAGCAGTGCCTTTTCCAGAGGCCACAGCAGGATAAAAAATAATGTTGTTAAAAAGAAATGTATAGCGTTGGTGAATTTTTGGCATTTCACTATTGTGAGTAGCTTCCGTTTTCCTTTATGATGCACATAGCATTCCTCACTGCATAGACCACAGTTCATGGAGTGAGCATCCCCAGGACTCTGGCAGTGAAGCAAACTGTAGCATAACGACTGCCCAGCATGGGCTTCATTACGTTTTCCCCTTACTCATGGATAAAATTATATAGTGTCTGAGAACATCATAAATTGAGAATTAAAAATAATAGGATAAGGAGGAGTGAGTCGTGGTTTAGGTGAAACAAGATTGGCCATGAGTTGATGATTGCTGAAGCCAGGCAGCGGTAAATGGGGGTTCGTGATATCATTCCGTTAGAATATTCCATGGTAAAAGACTAAAAAATGCCATAAAGCCCGTTAATTTTGTAAAAAGGTCCTGTCTCCGTGTACTGTGAGGTAGTACATTGCTCTTCCGGGTATGGTGCTCTGGTCAGTTTCCAGCAGAGGCTTAACGCACTTGCACTAGAGAATAGGACCGGGGTCTATGAGGGCTCACATGGATCCTTGCATGCGCGTGCACCTGTTCACGTATTTGCCGGAATTAGGCCACGATGCGGAGCTGGCCCCGGAAGAGAACACGGTCGGCTGGCAAATCTGAGGTGTCAAACTCCTGACCCTTGGCCACACGGTCAAAAACACTGACCCTCTGTATAGTCATGATACCCAGTTAGGTTTATAGTAACTTCAAGTTGTATAAAGTATTTTGCTTCAAAAACACTGGCTTCAGTAACTTCGTGACCACCTAGAGGGGTGGGATAGGGCGGGTGGGAGGGAGACGCCAGAGGGAAGAGATATGGGGATATATGTATATGTATAGCTGATTCACTTTGTTATAAAGCAGAAAGTAACACACCATTGTAAAGCAATTACACTCCAATAAAGATGTCAAAAAAACAAAGAACAAACTGGCTTCAGACTCCTACAGATGGGTGTTTGCCCTACTCTGAGTAACTGAACCATGTGACTTCAGTGAAGGTACTTAAACATCTATAAAGGGAAGGTAGTAATACATCCCAGTGTAGGGGTATTCTCATGGTTAGATGAAGTAAAAATGTATAAAGTGCCTGGTGGAGCTCCTGGCACAATAATGCCCTCCAGAAAAGTGATCGCTATGAGTACTAACAGCACCACTGTGCATGAGTTAACCCACCAAAGGCAAATTATGGGAGATACTGCCAGTCTGATCTGTGTTCTTGTGAGAACCTTGCAGAATAGACCTCTACCCTAGGAACTAGGTTACTTGGGAAGCCTGTGGGGAAGGTTTTGGCTTTGAAGTTGTGTGGACCCAACTTCCTTGTGAGCCCTGCAGTGTCAGGAACCGCTATGGTCTACTCATTCTGTGCTGTATGGCAACTAAGGTGGCTAGTGTAAGACAGCACAATCCTTTCCTAAGACTGGCTGCAGGCTTCCTAACCACAGATTCCTTGATGGACTTCAAGGGGCTAGGCTTTCCCACAGTATATACAAAATCATGGGTATATGCATTTTTCCTACAGAAAAAATGATGATTTGTATCTTTAATTAAATTCTCAAAAGGTTTCTTTATTACCTAAATAAAGGCTAGGATTCTCTGCTCTTAAGAATCTGGGTTTTGGAATATGGATTTGAAAATTTTTTTAATGGAAAGAATTTCAATCTGGTGTTAGTTATAAATAAAATTTCTTGAATACATATTTCCCGTTTATGTTCTGCCAGGGTGGATGCCTTTGCGTAAATTCTGATAAACGCAGAGGCCTCTTCTGATTAGCACACTAATTATAAAGTCGGAAAGCAAGACTCAAGAGCATTTGTTTGGAAAATTCTAACTTTTTATAAACAAGTCAGAAAATCGATTTCCAAAATGTTTTTAACCATTATGAGCTCTTATTCTGAGATACAGTTCTGCCAGAGAACTTAAGATTTCAAGGAAAAGCTGTTGTTGGATGTGTGAACTTGCTTATCTGTTCTCAATTTTCCAGTTGCTACTAAGTTATATCTAGAAAATACTGGTGGCTGTTACCTGGTCAGATTACTTGGAAGTTTTTTTTTTTTTTTTTTTAAGGGGTGTAAATAATACTGCAGAGAACATGATGTGTGCCCTTCCTTGCTCCGTTTTGTTTTATCAACGTGTATAAGCTCAGAATGTGAAGAAGCAGTCATGGACTTGTAGTGTCCCAATGCCACATTTCCAAATTACCAACACAGTTAAGGAGAGAGAGAGAGATGTTGTTAACAATTTTAGGTTAGCTCTGTAAAAAAAGTTTTTTTTTCATTGAATAAATGGCAATGTAACAACTTACAACACCCATTAAAGTATTTTATTGAAGGTCTCATGTTGGGGAAACAGAATTGGGAGTTCGTTCAGATACTAGAACATTAGAAATAAGGTTAGGAACTGTTGAGGTGAAACCACTTAGGAACATTTTTGGCCCCTGATGAAAGGCTTTGGAGCACAGGAGGAAACAGAGTATGGGATAAGTAAGGAGACCACCAGCCTGGTCTAGGTGGCAGCAGCGATGACAAGGAAGCAGGCAGTCCAAACCAGAAGGAACTCTTCCCCTGTACTCTAAGCAGGTGGAGAGCAAAGATATGACCGGGCAGCTGGTTGGCTGCGCTCTGTGAGGGACTAGTCAAATCCAGTACAGTGCCTTCAAGCAAGTGGTAGAAAAACCCTTGGACTTGGTCTCTCTGTAGGAAAACGAACGTTTCTGTTCCTCTCTACATGTAAAGAACATTCATGACTCTACTCATGATCTCAGTGGACATTCTTTGTACTCATCTCGTTCAGCAGCAACAAAGGAGTCAGGTCTTGCTTTATACAGCTTGTTTATGTTGAGAACGTGTATGTTTCGAGCTCCTCTGTTACCATAGTAGCTGAGATGCATTTTCCCTGGTAAGGCAGAGGTGGTGGAATGCATCCACCAGAGTCATCAGTCAGGCTTATGTTGTGCCCGTTTCCAGAAGAAGGTGGAGCAAACCCTGGTGGCTGAGCCACAGATTGGGCTGGCAGCTGGCAGTATGATGCATCCTTTCCACACCTTCTGTCCAAGAAAGCATTTTACGTAAGCTGATTTCCACCAGAGGCTAAAAAGAGATCCCTCTCAGAATTGAAAGGATATTGTCATTCCTTCCATATGGCATGCACATTTATTCTAAATTACCTCAGTCTGGAAGCCCCAGGAGACATTTTCATCGTGATCAAATGCAGTAAAATACAGAAATGAGTGTCTCCAGTAGAACAGTGAGTTTTATGTTATGTAAGAAGTGCAAATGGAGACTAATAATTCACTGGATGCATGTGAAGAATTTGAGACTGGGGTGGGGGAGAGAAACAAACTATCTGGCACTAGTGGCACATTCTTGCTTTGGGTCGGCCAGTCTTTTGCATGTTTGTATGTCACTGCAGAAATCGGTGCATTTCTTACAGGTGAACAAATTCATTATGTTTTATGAAGTTAATCAGTCTAATAGCCTGTTGGATTCCTATGCAAACATAAGAATACAATGAGACTTACACTTAGGACATGTTAAGTGTCCTTTGCTAATGTTAGCTAGGAAAACTGAAGAGCCCGGGAGTAATCACAATCTATTTGAACTACTACTTTGAATTAAATGTTTCTTTTCAGTTATCTAGGTTGGCTATTGGGGTTCCCACTGAAAGAAGAATTGCGCTAGTGAAATGTTGACTTCTTTCCGTATTTAGAAGTAGGTCTCCGATGTTTTGGTTTTAGAGGCAAAGTCTTGAGTCATTCTCCACATGAGTCCCATGAACTTTGTGTTCTTTCCTTTTCCCACCAAATTGCCAATACTTCCAAGTCATGTCATGCTGAAAACTACTTTCATGGCGATCCATACCGAGTATTGAGAGACTCTGCTTGCTTTATGGGTTCTCACAATGATGATGCGATTTGTGAAAGCAATTGGGAAAAGGGGAGAAGCAAACCAAGGGCCAGAAATGATGCCTTAAAAGGTGTCATTTCAGTGTTGCCGAACTTCAAGGGAGGAAGTGGGAACTCTCACAGCAGGAATCCACACGTGCTCATCTTCTGCTATTTATTTGAGTTCTACCAGAGTATCTTCACCTCCAAAGTCAGAATAATGCGGGCTTCCATGGCATTATAGAATAATGATGCTTAAGAATTTTAGTTTGAAAACAGTGCCCTTCAGAGTAGACATAGTCCTATAAAAGTTAAAAAGTTACAATGTGCCAAGTCCATAGAGCACATCCAACAAAATCTTACATTCTTGGGACTCGCCAAAGAACTGCTATTTAAGTCGAGTCTCAGAGCTGTCCTCTTGAACCACTTCTCAGAACAAGCATCTTAGTATTCTTTTTGTCTTGCTGTGGTTCTAGTTTATTAACTATTTACTAAGCCATTGACCTTCGCTCTCTGACCAGTAGAAATTGACTGTGCTTTAGCCATTGATCAGCCATTGATCAGTCCCCAACAGTCACATCCGTTTCTCTCTCTGGTACCAGGAAGAGCTAGCCTTACGATTGTGTTGGTGGTCAGGAGTCTGTGACAGTTCTTCATTAACTGAAAGGAAAAATACCAGTTAATACTGTGGAGGCAGCTGAGTGCCACTGGTCATTTACAACTCCTCAGGCATTATTGGCCAGCATTTCTACCCTGGTGGCCCCAGCAAGTTACAGAAGTCATCGTCATCAGAGCAAGTCCTACTGCAGCATCTCTCCTTTCCTCCTCAACCACTCCCAAAAGAAATATAAATGCTGATTTCTAAGGAGTGGTCCTGGTTAGAGAGGGCAACCTACTACTGTAATAAAAGGTGTTACATGCTAAGTATATTTTATATTCAGTAGATTGTGTTGATTAAATGTATTAAGGCTCCCACATTCAATAAGCATTTATTAAACATGTCTATTACCCAAGACCCGGGGATATGCAAATGAGTAAGACAGGGACTCTGTCCTGTTCCTCCCTGCCAAAAATGTGTTTGGGTGTTTGTAAGTCTTTAGACGAGTCAAATCAGTCTCCTTTTTACCTTTTGGCATCTTTGACTGAAAACTGAGTGTCAACTTTTCGCCTCTTACATACTCCTTATCCCCTTAAAATACAGCTTCAGTTAAAGCTATTGAAATATTAAACCTTATCAATGATGTCCTAATTACTAAATCTGGTGGCATTTTCCAACCCGCAGTTTTCTCCGCTGTAGCATTTGACACGAGCCCCCTTTCCGTGACACCCACCCCCAATCACACTCCTCCCTTTGGCTTTTATTATGTATCATCTTTCTGTGTATTCTTATCTGCTCCTGTAGCTTCACCTGTTACCTCTCTGGCAATAGCAAATTTGAACTTTAGCCCTGAAATCCTGACAATTATCCTTTGAGATCTTCCTGGTACATCCAAAAAAAAAAAAAAAATTCTCTTCCTCACCACCACCAACATGCATAACTGAAACTATTTTTTATTCTTAAAAGTTTATTTTCAGAATTATAATTAATCAAATTATCCAAGCCAGAGACAAGGAGTTCATAATCTCATAGGAGATAATGTATTTTATAGAATTGAACCTGAAAATGTTCTTTTTGGTCCCCACGTCAAGTCCCAGCAATTCATTCTTTGCCAGGCACTTTATATGCCATGTACTCTAGGACATGAGCACTCTCTCTGAACTATTCTTTTCTGATTCCACACTGCTTGTCATCTCAATTGAGAGAGGGTGTATATGCATTGCATGGTAACAGGTCTTAGGTTACATGAGGCTCAAGACTTAACAGCTAATGTTTCTTGATCACTTATGTGCCAGACACCGTGAAAAGCCTTTTCTCATTTAATTCTTGCAATGAAATTATGTTGTGGTCACCATTATTATTCTTACTTTACAGGTGAGCAAACAGAGGCATAGAGAAATCAAAATGAGGCAATTTGCCCAAGATCATAGAAACTGAGGGAGTCAGGATTCAATCCCAGGCAGTCTGACTCCAGAGCCCACACGCTCAGCCACTCAGTTTCACTGCCTTTCCACGTAGGTTATTGCTCATTCAAAGGTATTGCTTGAGATAGCTCATGCCTTAGATTATAGACTCACTGAAATATGAGTAACTTCTTCTCTCTTATTCTTAATTACTGAAGGCTAACTGCACAACAAGTGCTTTGAATGAGGAGCCAGGATACAAATTCTAGAGTGAAAATGGGTGACCTGAATAATGACGTTGAAAGAAGAGAACTAGAAAATGGAAAACTAGGAGAGAAAGCAAGAGAAAACCCATCATTCCTCAATGAGTTATATCTACCAAGTGAACCAAATGTCTGTGCTAGGCGCAATGAAGAGAGCTAGAGAAATAATTTATCCTTCTCCTGAAAGAGCTTGCAATTTGTCCATCATTTCATTTTAATGGGTCTGTTAAGGACAGTGCAGAGACTAGACAGGTGAGATTAGCCAGGTGGCCATGAAAACATCTGAGTTTGTAACTGTAGAATATTCTGCAGGCCATGAAGTTTTCCTTCTTGGGCCACAGGTGAAGAAATGTAATCTTCTTGACTCAGAGCTAAGTCTTTATGCAGAGGAATCACCATCATCAGTAATTAGCCCTGTTACAGAAAGAGATTGATCGAGTCCCTTCAAAACTTTTATCAAATTCTTGCCTTGTTCAATTCTCACACTGTTGGCTCTCATGTTGGTGATGTTTTATTTGCCTGGGCCAAGAGGATTCCTCCATTCAGCAGATACCTACTGAACACCTACTCTGTGTTCAATACTCCAGGGGTAGTGTTTTGGCTGAGAGAGCTAGCTCTGGAGCCAGACAGCCAGGGTTCAAATCCTGTCTCTACCATTTTCTCGGTGAGTGACATTGGGTAATTGACTTAATTTTAAGTAAATTTTATATAATTAATTTTATTTCTAAATAAAGATCAATAATTTTATCTTTAAGTTTAATAATAGCTACTAGATATATTTTAATAATAGTTATTATAATGACACAAACACTGCCTTCTTAGAATTTATAAGTCAGCAGGGGTCATAATGACCAATGGTTGTTCAGAACAGGCACTGTTAGGAACCTTACGTGTATTGTCTCACTTAATCTCCGCACCAACCCTACAGCTGTGTCCTGCTATTATTTCTATCTCACAAGTGAAGAATCTGAAGCTTCAGGAGATTAGGTAGTGTGGCCATTGTTACAGACCTGGAATTCAAACCTCCATCTGGTTTGACTCTGTCATCTGAGATCTTAACAATTTCACTCTGCTAACCCTTAACTTACTCTTGACTTTTAGAAATGCTTATCTGGTTCCTTTTGGATTGCTGACTATCAAAACCTATGTATAAAGTTCGGTGAGAGATGCCTAGCCACGCTGTACATTTTCCATACTTTAGTTAACTGTTTCAGAATGTCAGTTGCTGAAGGCCAGAACCTGATCACTTACCTGGCCTTATTTTATTTTATTTTATTTTACATCTGGCTTCATACAAAAACTTTCAGGCATTCAAGAGACACAATTTCTTTTCCATAGTGACTATTTTTGGCAATGTTGGTTATCTTAGCAAGCAATTTGTTCATGATCGGGGTGATAGTATTTTGAGCGGCACCGGAAGTAGCAGTTTAGGAATCTCAGGACTTGGGGAGATAAGATAATCAAAACTTCCACCCGAGGAGAGGTGACATGTCCCTGGCAGTGGTTGATGAAGGGTTTGGTGATGGGAAGTTCAACACTCAGACCTCCACCTTAAGAGCTACTCCTCAAGGCAACTGACACAGACTGAAAAGTGCAGGATGTTAAAGAATTTTCTTTCTTCCTTTGCGAGAAGATCGATGTTCTCTACATACTAATTAAATTTACATGCACCATTACCTCCTAAGCCTTGAAGTATGGGGATTAATGATGAATGATTATGATACCGTCACATGCTTTCCATCACATCTTAAAATGCCTCTCTTGTCTGGTGGACTAGGGTTATGAGGTAGGCAACATGACTTTCTGTTTCAGGACGCAGGAATCGGGGGTTCTGTGAACACACTAGTTTATCTGTCAACGTCCCTTTCTTTACAGGGACAAAATAGGAATGATTACACTTGCCATAACCCTGGTGGTTGCAAGATTAATGACATGACATTTGACCATCTGTTTACAGTTTTTAAGTGAGAGCTGCTAAATAGAGATTCAAACTGGTGATACCTTATTTGGGGCCAAGTGTTCTCATTTGCCCTCAAACTGGAGAGAAGATATTATTACTTGCCCTTAGGAAAGCAGCTACAGAAAGAACTATAATTTTAAAAACCACATGTTCTCAGGGGTTTTTTAATAAGAAAGGAAAATTTGGAATTAAAGGGATCACATCCACATAAAAATGAAAACATGTCTAGTCAATCTGCTAACACTGGAAAATGTAATCAGGAAAAAGGATACACAGATCCCATTGGGAGAGGAGGGAAATATAAGCAAAGGATGGTTTGAGGAGGGGTTTTCAAATTTGTTTTTAGTACTTTAATGACATCATCCAACTTAAATATTATTGGTTTTTGATATTGCTAAAATAGCTATTAACCTCTCATATTAATGTAACATTTGCTGGGTACCTTATTAACACATAGTCTATCAAATCACAGTGCAGTTTCATTCATTTCAATTACAGCGGAATAAACAGGCTCAATCCAGGACCCAGCTTCTCATGTCCCAGTTGCTTTAAACTTCCTGAGGGTTTGGTTTTGTTTTGGTTTGGTTTGGCTTTGTTTTTTTTTTTTTTTTAACCTTAAGACCCCAGTTTCATGGTAAATTTACATCAAGCCATCAAATATCTATTAAGGCTTGACATTTGCCAAACACTGTGATAGTACAATGTTGGCACATTTCCTTAGTAGAAGTTCAGCGGATGAGGATTGTGTGCACAGACACAGGAACACACGGGCACGTGCGCGTGCACACACACACACACACACCTGTCAGCTTGAGGTGACAGACCAAGAAACACGTAATGTTTGTGAATCTATTGGCCTGAGAGACACAGACAAGCAATCACGTGTCCCAATTGCTGATTCACAGTTCGCCTGTCTGCGAGGGGCTGCAGTTAAGGGTGCCCACGGCAGGCCTTCAGAGCCTAGCACGTCATCCACATTGCTGGAAAGATCAAATTTTGCCACGTTCACCACGGAAGATATCTTAAGAGGGGTGCGTATCGGGAAGCACCTACATATCAAAAAGGTGTGTGGCTCCAGGCCTCCCAGAAAAATGGACGGTACACGGACTTGTTCCAAACGTGTGCCATGGGAAGGACTCTAACCCCTGCCATGTGTGGCTTCTCACTTACCCTCCATCAGCTTGATCCTGAAGTAGGCAATGAGAAGGAACAGCAGCAAAGTCACGGGCAGGAAGATGCCAGAGAACAGGAGCCAGCCTGGGAGCTCTCTCAGGAACTCCGACAGTACGGGGCTCAGTGCCATATCACACAGACCACCGATCCCCCCCAACCCCGGGCTGGTGGGGTTCGCCCTCAAATGAGGGCAGCTTCGCTGAGTCCACACTTGTTTTCTTCTGGGGCTCTGGCCTTTGCTCAGCACATCTCAGTGGAACTTTTTGTGGACTTTGCTCTATTTAAACAGCCCCATGAATTCTGAGAGGATTGCTGGCAGGTTACTCTGTAACTCAGCTACAAAGTGTCGAGGAATTGAAAGGTGATTCTCCCAGGCCATTCCAGAGATGAGTATTTATCTGGCAAGGTTGGGAATGACACCAGGAGACCTAAATTTCTTTGTATTCAGTTTATCTGATACGAAAAGTACCTGACTTTAAGCAAACCTCCTTGCTGTATATATTCTACCAATATATGCCCAGACGTAGGAAGAATCTTTCCTACATTTTCTAAACTTCAGAGAAAATATTAATTAGTAGCTATGTTAATGTACCTGTGTCGAGAAAAAGTGAATTTTCCTTCATACGTAGTTTATACAACTAATAGCAAGAAAGGAGAAACAATTTTCTTTCCATATATAAAATCTCTTCCTAATATGTCCTACTCCAAATGCTTTTCTGAGAGGTATACTCGTTTATTCAGTTATTCAACAAAAATTTAATTCTACTACAACCCAACCTCTTGACTAGATGCTGGATGTACAAGAAAAAGTCATGGTACCTTCCCTCTGAGAGTGGAGGCAGACGGAGAGAGAGAGAGAATGGCCATAAGACATAATGGTGGAATGGATGGTAATACGGGCCCTGTTCCTTCTTGCCCCAGTGCATCAGTTTGTGCTTGCTGCTTTAGTAGCTGGTACTCTCAGCTGTTTCCTGCTCACACAGTCCTGTGGCCCACCCTTAGCAGTAGAAGGTGCCCCCTGAACGATAGTGATGTGGCTGGTGCGGTAACTACCAGGTTTCTGGGAAAAGATTAAAAGGACAATAGACTATGTTGATGCTGGTTTATAAACTGAGTTGAGTTGCCATCCACTGCTTTAGTGAAAACATTTTGAAGATACTGGTCTACTAAACTAAAACCAACTAAAAAATCCTTTCTATCATTAAAAGGCCTCCTGGAGGATTTGGAAAACTTGGGGAGGGAGATTGGCAGCCACCTCCTTGGGCTGATTTCTCTTCTCATGTTGTCACCCTGTTCCGCATGGCCACTTGGGTGAGTGGCTGCCCTATGAAGGGCGTGCTGCTGTCAATGCCTCCTGCGTCTTTCCATCAAGGGTTCTGCATGGCCATGCAGAGTCTTAGTCCCAGCTGTAAAGTCAGCACCCTAATCTATAAAACAATAGGAATGGGGAGGGTCTCTGGGATGCCCAGCTGGCTTCCTAAGCAGTAAACAGCAAATAGATTTATGTCCGATCTGCCCCTACGTATTTCATATTTTATGCTGTTGTAAAGAGAGTTGCTTTTAAAATTTCAATTCCTGATTGTTTGTTGCTGGTATTAAAGGTTTTCTTAATTTATTAAATATATCACATCACTGGGAACTTTTAGAAGATTACATATTAGGACTTGTTAAACACCCTTTAGAGCTTAAGAGCTTTTATCAATAAAGACTCTTTTCCAAATTCACACTGGTTGCTTGGGTTAACTAGGCCTAGCAGGTAGAAGGATAGAGATGTTTGAAACACTGGTAATCAGTCTATTTGATTGACCAGAATTTGGGGTGGGGTTCCATAGAGTGTGCAATACGTTACCATAATGACAGCAGATTCTTTACCTAGCTTTTTACCATGTGGTGGATGTAATCATTAATGTCACTGGAAAATGTACATCTGTGAAAATAGAGGGACATGTTCCATTTGGGGTTAAATTCTCCTGTTGACTTCCTTAGTAGTGAATGAGCCCACTGTTGATTTACATGACAGTTTATGGCACAAGTGATTGCAGATGTTGATGTGAGTCCCTAGGGAACTACTCTTATACCACCTATTATGCTCTTAGTGACAGCTGGACAAAAGCCTTTTTTAGATAACTGTGACCTATTGAAGGTGATACCAAACCCACCAGGCCTCTGATTTGGATTCTGTATTCATCTGAATAAGCCATAAAGGATGACTCATTCCAGTGACATGGCGCAGAGCAGTGAAGGTTCTGAAGTCCGTCAGTGGAAGGTGCCAAAGGGCTGTTGACTGATATCTGGAGGATCAAATCATGTGCAGCTGCAAAACCAACACAAAAGAATAAATACAAATGAAACTAACAAACTTTAAATGAAGTGCTCTGATTTAATTATATGGGTGATGCTTTGCTGTTGAAGTACTGCTCACTGTAAGTGTAGTAAGGACTGCTCCAGTGTGGGCCTTTTGGGTAGGAAAGTCTATGTTCTCTGACCCTTGTTACCTGCCCTTCTGAACTTGGCTCATTAGCCCATGTCAATTAAAGTAGTATCACTTGGCACCAGTATTACAGTCAACACAAAAATAAGGGCTCTGAAATTGTGTGGCAGTGGTAGGTTATAAGGTACTCTTTCAATAAAAAGATAGATATGGAAGTGACAATGAAGAATTTAAATTCTTTGTGAACTTTGAGAAAAGGTGTACAGGCCTTCATTTATTCATATTTCAAGTAACAAATATTTATTGAGGGTTTAACATGTGCCCTGGAGGCACTGATTTGGGGCTGTGAACATAATCATGGATGACAAAGTCCCTGTCTTTATGGAACTTACATTCCAGTGGAGTGTAGTAGTATACACCCCAGGGAGTAGTATAAACACTTCCCATATTCTATCTCATTATGGTCTTATAACAATGCCTTTGAAGTAAGTACCAATTCTATAAAGCCCACGGAGCTTTCATAACTCATCAGTGATCACACCACTAGAAAGTGACACAGTTGGAATTTGAACCCAGACCCCAAACACTTATCCATTATATTCTACTGCCTCTCAACCTCCTAGAGATATAGTGTCAAGTCATGATAAGTGCTCTGCAGGAAAAAAAAAAAAAAAAAAAAGGGCAAGGAGAGAAGAGACTAACAGGAAGTGTTACTTTTAGGTGGGTGGTCAGGGAAGGAGTACTAACCTGATAGAACTGCTGTAACAAAATACTATGGACTGGGTAGCTTAAACAACTGAAATTAATTTTCTCACAGTTCTGAAGACTGGACATCCAAAACTGAGGTGCTAGCAGGGCTGGTTTCTGTTTAGACTTTTTCTCTTTGGCTTGTAGATGGCTGGTTTTCTTCTTGCTGTTACCTCACATGGCCTCTTCTCTGTGCTTGGGCACCCCTGGTTCTCTTCCTTTCCTTATAAGGGTACCAATTGTATTGGATTAGGGTCCCACCCTTATGACCACATTTAACCTTAATTACCTCCCTAAAAGGCCCTATCTTCAAATATACTCATATTGGGGGTTAGGGCTTCAACATATGAATTTTGGTGGAGTAATCAATTCAGTCCATTGATTTCTCTGAAAAGGTTCTCTGAAAAGCAGACTTTTGAGCAGAGTCTTGAATGAGAAGAAAGATGGAGCCATGAGCATATTTAGAAGAATGGAGTTTTAGGCAGAGAGAACAGCAAGTACAAAATTCCTGAGATAGGAAAATTTTTGGTGTGATAGGAGATGCAGAAGTAGGCCTACTGTGGCTGGAGCACATTGAGAAAGGGGAAAATTGGTAGAAAATACACTTTTGAGAAACTCTGATCTAGAAACATGACAACACTGACAGTCCCTCAAGAAAATGTGCCCACAGGGTGGTCTGTTAAACTAATTCTACCGCATTTTATTAGGCATTGCTTGGAAAATGGTTAAATAAATGTAGAGAATACTGGGGTAAGATGATTTCTTTACTGCAAGGTTTCTTAGAGCCTATAATTTGGTAGGGCGCATTGTGAATCCCCAAGAGGAATACAGCATGAGTCTTTCCCAAACTTACTGGACCATTGAGTCCTTGTTGCCAGGAGAATCTCAGGAGATCACGGTCTGCAGAACATGCTTTTGGGCATCGGCCATTAGGTAATAAGATTTGTCTTGGTGCTCTGAGTATCAACCCTAACCCTAAGTATCAAAGTATAAGATTGGTATTCTTAGGTAGGGAATGGTGGATAGGAATCAAGTTATTCTGAGAAATGATGGGGCTTTTTCACTTCAGTTTTTCTGAGTTGTACTAGCACAGACTGGCCCCAAAAATTCAAGAAGCAGAACATTGTCTGATTCATTAAATTCTTCAAGTTTCAGCCCATCTCACTTTACAAAGTTATTTTGTTTACAGGAGAATGATCTTGTCTCATTCATGAAACTCTTTGCAAGTTTATTTTGTTCATGGGAAAATGGTCATTGGAACATGCCCACCTGACAGTTTCTTTGTAATCCTGTCTTATTTGGGGTGGTGATACAAATTAGATGTTTCTCTTCATTAGCAATGGGCTGTGACAGGAGTGGGTAGCTCTCTGGGAGTAGTATAAGGATGAATGTTTGCACCCCAGGGTCTCCAGGGAGGGGAGGGCACTTTGACAAACCAAAAATTACTTGTTACTTGAACATGTTTAGAACATCAGAGATGGAAATTCTGTTCAATTCAGCTTTTCTCTCCATTCACCCATTATGCTTTTGTCAATCAACATGACCAAATAAGATCTAAAATAACCTCTTATTTTATATCTCTCATATAAATAAGAGATAAGAACAGAGACTGATATATGCTAATTTGAGTTAATGAAGTTTAAATTTCAGCACCCCTCATTTGCCTGGACCCTTCCAAGACCCAGGGAGGAATACCGAAAATATATACACGTGGTGTTAGTTTTTGTAGAGTTTGCAAACAAAAGATATATTAGCTGCAATAGATATCTCTCCACTCCAGATTCCCATCTTTCACACTCTTTATGGCAGGAAGTGTTGGAGCAGCCATGGAAATTTTGGAGACAGCTCTAGGGGGAAGATGAGTTGGGGACACATTTAATTTGGGTTGGTGGAAAGTTTATGTGTTTTGCAGTTATTTCTGTATATAGTTAAGTTGTAGTTAGCTGTCTTGGTGTAGCAGTGACTTTCAGGGGTACTCCTACCACCCCCTGTGCTATAATTCTTTGCATTGTGACCCGAATTTTCAGGGGCAAAAGGTGGTATCACAATTTGAACATGTCCTATGCACTTA